TAACACCAATCAAGGTTAATGTTAAGGCTATTAAAATAATAAGCGAATGCAATTTATAATCGTATATTCCAAAATTAGCAACGTATTTTTTACATATTCGAAGGTAGGTCGTCAAAGATAATAATCCAACTAAAGACGTATTAACCGAGACAAAGAAGAAGGTCAATCCACCGGCCCATTTACACGCTGTTCCTTGAATAGTATGACCATTAGCTGCCGAATATACCTTAATTTAAGGAGAAAGTTAATAATTTATTAATTAATAAGATTTTAGAATTAATTGAAAAATATATACCATATTAATAAAATTCATATAAAGTAAATTGAACTCTAATTATATAAATTTGGAATGAAAAAAAATTAGATAACTAAATATGGAGTAAAATTAGTATATTTATATATAAAAAATGAAGAACATACCGGAAACTGCTATATAAAATGGCACCCTATGAGCCATCGGTAAGGGTCTCTTAGTTACCCACCATCGCCTCAGCGTTCTCGTAAGAAGGTAAATTAAGCAGATAAAATTTGGAATACTAGCAGTTATACCAGATAGCATAATAATCGAAAAGCCAGGAAGCTCTCTGAGATTTGTAGTATCTGAAGTAAGGCTCATTATGAAATTGAAAGGAAGTAGAAAGAAATACGACCACGAGAAATGATTTACAATATTGAAAAAATATTAGGAAAAGAAAAATCTTGCAATATATACGGAAAATTTATCTATTATAATTTATATTAATTATAAAATAAATAATCATTTACTAATTTGTCTTTAGTTTTTCGTTCTCCTGTCTAGAAACGGTTACTGCACAATTCCCTACTCTACATCACACAAAATAGCATTTGAGGAATTGAGCGACAACCTTAGAAACATCTCATTGAAAAGCGGGATATTTTAGATGAGTAAGTTTCATTTTATTATTTTGGATATTTGCAAGGAAATTCTCTCTTTCTAATTGATTCACACTAGTTTTTTGTGAGACCAGTTATTTAAAACCAATCATTTAGCATATGTATTTAGCTGATCAACGCTAATACGTGCGTACGTGCACTGTGATCTATGCATAGGATTAGAGTTTATAACCGATTTTTTAAATGAATGTACGTACAAGGTTACATAATATTACTATTACAGTATATGAGTGACGCTAAGGTAAAATGTGACATTGGTTTATACGTAATTGATTATTTATTTATTAATAAATAATTTTCCCGGCGCCCTTAAATTGTATGTAATATTTTAATATTTAGATTATTGCTGTTTTCGAAATGATTGAAAATGGCAAATAATAATTTTTTTTTTTAGTGTACACTCGTACTCGATTACTCGATTACCTTAGCACAGACCGATGTCCGATTTTATGTAATTACATAAAAAATCGGACATATCAGGTAATCGAGTGTACGAGAATATGAGTGTACGCCAATAAAAATTTATTTTCCATTTCGAAAACAGCGATAAATAATTTTAGGTTTTTAATGTAATTTTATAAAAATCTACTATACCAAAATTAATTTTAATATTCAGCCGATAGAATCAAGCTAATTGATCTATAGAATTAAGGCTGTAATCTCTATGCAAAGTACTAGGAAAATTTTCCTTACGAAAATGAAAGCTATTTAAACAATAAAAAAGCTTTTTAAATAATACATAAACTAAATTTCTTTTTTGTAACCTAATTTTTAATGAACCTAAAGTTTTTAATTCGTGAATATAAAGAATATATGAAGATTCTGTGTTTTTTTTAAAAAAAAAATTTATATTTATATTTAATTATATAAGTAGTCAATTATAATATTGCCAGCCTATAATAATATAGGCAGCATCAACGGTCTATAAACGCTTTGGCAAATATTCCGTCATACTATCTGCCATAAATCATCTATAATTTAGAAAGGTAAAATCGTGTTTAGATTAATTTAAGATAGATCATAAGTAATAACTTTCCCCTTATAGAAACCTGTAATTTAAGTTTTTTATCAATTTATATAGTGTTTAATAGATCAAATAATGATTAAGTAATACTATAAATGTTTGTTCGATCTGAAACGTAGACAGTATTAAAAATATCATAAAAACAAATATGATGATCAGACCAAGAAATCTTTTTAATTAAAGTTTTACTAGTAAATTACCTGTAAAAAGCCAAGTGTTCAATAGAAAATTTAGATGAGTAGACTTAGATAAAATTTTATCTTTTATTGGCTACATTGTAAGGCATAGCAAGTTCAAGAGAAATACCAAAACACTAACAAACTTAGTAACATATTGGTTTAAAGTTTAGGACTAAACACAGAATGAATTTATATCATAATAAACTAATATTTTTTGTTAGATAAACAAAGTCATGAGCTATAGATAATTGTATCGCTTGATATTTCAGAAATAGCTTAATTCAAACTCAGTATGGAAATAATCTTCAATTTTATCTACCGGATTTTTTTCTTTTCGACTCTTATTGGAGCCGATATATGGTGCTTACAAATAGTTTTGAGATTTGTATTAATTTATCACGATTTTAATATAACACACTATATGCAAAATTATATAATCTAACTTATGTATAAGCGGTTAGAAAAGGAAAAAATAAAAATAAAAAGAATATAAATTAACCAATCGGATAAAAATTGCAAAATATATGTTGTGCTCATTATCAGATGTTGATTTTCTTGGCCTGCATTAACTGATCGACATTGATTGGCCTAAATTAAACTCTAATCTTACCCTAACTCTTACCTAACCCTATCCTAACTTAGGCCGATCGACATCGAGGCAAGCATTAATTTGAGGCACGGCATTATACCAAATCAATTACAATAAATGTCTTACGCTTTTAAACGAATTTTCGATATTAGGTAATGATTAGTCACTTATTACTAGAGTTGTTGGTGAAACTAATTTGCGATGTTGCATCAGTTTACACCAATCACCAATCAGCATTGGTGATACTGGTGATACTGGTGATACCTGGTGATTAGAGATGGGAAAAATGCGCATGAATGCGTATTAATGCGCATGTTATATAAAATGTGCATGATATCGTATGATATAATTTTTTATATTTTCCCTCCGGAAAATATCTGATATTTGCCAGAATTTTTTCCCAACCCTTCTCGCCTTTATGTTCATTCATTTCCTTTGCATAATTTTTCAAAACATTTGCATTCATATTTCTTAATTTTGCCTGGCATTATACACTTGACCTAAATTAAATATACTTTAATTTTCCAATATAAAATTTAGATGGGATAAAATGCGCATGTTTCCGAACCATGCGCATTAATGCGCACGATGGAGGCATCATGCGCACGTATGAAACCCATCTCTAGTTATTTGCCAATATATTATTTAAATTAGCCAATTAATGAATATTTACATTTAACTTCTTATCACTGGAAGAGAATTAGCCTATCTTTTATCAACAGCTTAGTCCACAAAGATGCATGTTGAGGATTGACCCGCCCATCGACTTGGTCATTAGGCTAGGGATAACCTGTATCACTAGTTACTGTATATAATTCTATTATAGAACTTACTATCATTTAGAATTAGTTAGTTTGTATTATAATAGTCGTGATTTCTATCGTAAATTGCTGCAAATAATTTTTTACAACCTTACTATTCTAGTAATAATAATATGCGGTTAAAATTCATAGGCCGACATTCGTATGATTTGTTAATTTTTGTAGATCTATCCGTGATTTTCCATAATAATTAACCAATCAAACTTACAAATCAATAAATACATGCAAATAAAATTATCATATATGTCTTAGAGAATAGATAGAAATGCGTAAAGTTGAGTAAAGTAATATTTTATTGTTAATAAACCTAAACCCATTAAAGAATTTACAATACAGTATATAAACCAAAACTTTATAGTTGACAACCCCTAGCCAAGTGACTAAATTTAACATTGAACTTGAATCTTCTATTGCTAAAGAGCTTGTACCTTTCAAATTGAATAGTTAGCAATAAGAAATTTATTTAAACCATATGAAACAAAATAGTTTTAAACAAAAATACTTCCAGTTACTCTCATTGTACAGTACAATTCCACATGGTCTAATAAATGGTAATATATTTTATCTTCTAAGCAAAGATTAAAATACTTATATTTCATGATCTACTAGGCCAATTTTAATTTTTTAGATCACAAGATATTTCTCTATATCTTTACTTAGAAGTTGAAAGAAGGTTTGCTTAGTAAAAAAATAGGTTTCTTATTTAAAGATAATTATATCTTTATATTCTAAAGAATTTACTCTATATATAAATAAAATATAAAATATATTTTATATTATTCAAACTCAAACAAACATTTGCAACTCTTTCTGATGATCATTTGGAACACCACTTCTCAAAAATTTTTTACAAGAAAAAACACCGGACGTTGGGGCATCTCAATAAAACGTTGAGGTTTAAATCGTGAGATATGAGAAAATGGCTTGCAGGACAGCTCTTGTTGTTTAGAGATAGTTCTTATATGCTACCTGCTGACTTGTATCAGAGTTTATTATTCACTGTTCCTTGCATCACAGCACTTGTCATTTATAGGTAGTTCTTATACACTACCTGCTGACAAGCTTAGAGTTTATCACTCACTGAAAAAAGTGATTACCATGCAGGTCATGGGCAGAGGGTTTGATTGAAGTAAAGAAAACTCACATTCCTTTGGTGCTCTCCTATTGGTTTTTTACCTTCCTCTTGCTTTTTGCCATTCTTATCATAATTTTTAAAAAAAGTGAGCATTTTGGCTTACCCCTTTAAAAGATCAGCATTGTTTACTCCTTCCAAATCAGGATAGACTTAGTAGAAGGCAACCACGTGTTTTGTTGACTTACAAATGTGGTGCAATGGTACATGGATAGATACTGTACTCTCATTTAAGAGATACCCAAGTTGAGTCAGTGCATGGAATGAGTTCTAAAAATAAAATGAATGTTTTATAACGAGATATAATAATTAGTTGCAGTTATTATATAATTTTTATTACCAAGGTATCTGTCATGGCTACCTTCCCTTTTTTTGTTTTTTTTATCTCTGTTCAATTTATGTTAAACTACTTTAAAATTTTGTTTCTTTTGTGTTTTTTTTTCTACTGTGAGGTTTTTTTTTTCTAAAATGTTTAGGTCTTTCGTAAAAATTTTTTCTTTTATGTATGAATAATGGTTAATGATTTGGTTGAGCTTAGATAGAAGAAGCTTGAAAGAAGGAGAGGTAATCATAACAGGCAGTAGGTACCATCTGTTGAGAGCCGGTTAATATCTGAATTCAGGAGAGGCTAGATGAAGGAGAAACCTACTATAGCAAGTCACACATAGGTGCTAATTGGGGTAACTGGGTGAGTTGCAACTCGTAATTTAAATGACTTAGGGTGTATCTTGGGTATGTCACTTGTTGTTTAGAGATAGTTCTCATACGCTATCTGCTGACTTGTTCAGAGATAGTTCTCATACGCTATCTGCTGACTTGTTCAGAGTTTATCACTCACTGATAAATCTTCTTCATAAAATTTTACTGTTCTGTAAGAATTGTACAAAGCCTAATAAAGTTGTGGCATGATTGCTGAATTTGAACAAAAAAAAAAAAAAAAAAAAAAACTTCAAGCC